ATTTTTAAGATACAACTTTCTGAAAAAATTACGACTTCGACTATGTTTTGATCTTCAATAATGTATCTTTGTGTTATAGGATATCAAAATTAATCTTTCAATTTAAAAAAATATGAATATAAAAAAACTTGTTATATTTTGAAAAACGGTTTTATTAAATTCATTTTTAAAAATACAAAGAAAAAATCATAATTTTTTTAAAGTTGAAACAAACAGGTTCAATGTTTAATCCAAGTATGGGAAGTACTATCTTGACTATCAGTTTATTCTTTAGTATTTAGTTAATAATAAAAAAAAGTTATCTTTGATTAGATTATTTTGACATCTTGGAATTTTATAAAGGTTTGTTATAATAATATTTTTTTTACCATCTTTCTTTGATTGGGTGATAAATTTGTTATTTGTAACTCAAATTCAAATTCAGATTAAATTGATTTGCATTTGAATTTCATTTAATGGTTCAGATAGTATAAATCGTGAACTGAAGTTTCAGTTGTAGCAGAATCTGAGTGTAACTATTTTGCATCTGAAAAGTTAGTTACATATTTTTCTTTCTCTCTTGCATCATTTTCTTCATCTTCAACATTGTGCTCCAACAATTAGTATCTAGAGCTCTAGTTCTGATTCAGGAATGAGAAACACAATTGTACATAAGACATGTGTGATTGATCTGCTCATTCAATTCATAGTGGATTGAAGAACTGAATTGAAATATGAACATATTTCTTGATTCTGAGAGAATGGGAAACATGCGTGTTGGTGATTTTTTTGAATGAATTTGCAAAAGAACAAAGATGAACAACATAAACGGTAATTTGAACACAAAACTTCCAATCTTTGATGGAATGAATTGCAATCGGTGGATGATTCAGATGCATGTGTTGTTTGACGCTCAAGATATTCTTGATCTCGTCAATGACGCTTACACAACGGTTGAAGCAGATGCAACTGAAGCACAAAGAAATGTGCATATAGAAACGAGGAAGAAGGATAAGAAGGTGTTGTTATATATTCATTAATATATGGATACAAATGTGTTTAAGAAGATCGATGATTCAACAACAACGAAGGGTACGTGAGACACACTGGTACGATGCTACGACGGTGATGCATCAATGAAGATTATGAAGCTTCAGTCTCTATGTAAGTAGTATGAGAATCTCAACATGATGAACAATGAGAAGGTACATGATTATATCTCTAGAGTGATTTTAATCACAAATGAGATGAACTCTTGTGGAGAAACTCTCTCTGAACAAGTAATCATTCAAAGGGCACTGAGATCCCTTACTCCCCAGTTTGATTACATTGTTGTAGTAATTGAACACTATAAGGACCTTAACACCATGAGAATTGAAGAATTGCAGATTAGTATAGAGGTACAAGAGTTGCGTCTGACTGAGAGAAACTTTGAAAGAGAAGTAGAGTAGGCTTTGAAAACATCTTCTGGTAAGAAGAATCAGAAGCAGCCTTAGTTAGAGGCCAAGAAGAAAGATGGTGGTGGTTATCAGAAGTCAGAAGCTTCCAACTCCGATGAGAAGAAACATTAGAATGGAAAGGAGAAGTTTGACAATAAGAAGGTTCAATGCTACTATTGTAAGAATTTTGACCACTTTCTTACTGACTGTTGGTCAAACTAGGAAAGGAAATTAGAAGAAGCAAACATGGCCGGAGGAGAATCAGATGATGAACCTGTGCTATTGGTGGCTTCTAAATCTGATGGTGGATATTTGGTAGACTGGTGGTATATGGACATTGCCTGCTCAAATCACCTAATTGGAAACAAACAATGGCTAATTAATTTTGACTCTAGAAAGAGGACAAAGATCAGATGTGCTGATGATAAGTACCTTAATGCTAAAAGAATTGAAAATGTCAAAGTCAGAGTGAAGAATGAAAAAACTATTATGATCAAGGATGTCTGGTAAAGTTGTCAAAATGGGCTACTCGACCCTAAACAGACCGGTCCTGGTGGGCTCGAACTTTTTAAGGTTGAGCCAAAAAAGCTCATTTCTAATACAGGCTTAAAAATTACTACCCAAGTCCGACCGTAGATGGACTTCGGACTACCCGGCCCTAAACAAGCTTTTTTTAATAAAAAATAAAAATAAAAATTTCATAATATTTTTTTATAAATAAAATTAAAAATTATATTATTTTAAACATAATACATTTTTAAGTACTATGTTATCTTTAATAAATACTATAATATATTTTTAAATACAATACATGTCTAAATTGTATAAAATAATACTCGAATATTTAACATAAGAGAAACTAATAGAATATAAGAAAAGAGTGTTGATTATATTAATATATAACATTTAAAAGAGAAAGATTGAATAGAATAGAGATAAAATTTAGTGAGGTGGAAAAAAAATCAATGTTTTATTTTGGAGTAAGACAATATAAGTATTAATATAATTTTTTAAAATTTATAGTGATATGATTCTAATGGGCTACCCGTGGTCCATATGGGCTAACCCTATTTGGTAGCGGGTGTTTTAGGGCTGGACTAAAAAGTCCTGAAAATATAGGCTCTAATTTTAAGGCTCAAACCCTATGATTTTTCAGGTCTGGCGGGCCGGTCCATGTGGGTTAGGCCTTTTTGACAGGTTTAATGTTTGGTATGTTCCTAGCATGAAGAGCAATATGATGAGTGCAGGTCAGCTAATTGAGAAAGGTTTCTCAGTTACTATGAAGGACAATCTTTTTAAGTTGTATGATTCTGATCAGAATCTGATTATGCAGTTTGAATAGGAAAGCAACAAAACATTCAAAGTGAAGGTGGAAACAACTGAAACTAAATGGCTTAGTGCTGAAAGTGACAATGAGTTATGCCACAAGAGATTGGGGCATCTAAGCTTCAGCCCTAGGAAATCTGAGTTCTAAGAAGCTGGTACATGGCATTCCTAAGATTGTGAATCCTGAGAAATCATGTAAGATATGAATGAAAGTAAAGCAACCTATCTTTCATTTTGCATCAAAAGTGGCTCAAAGAGCAAAATATGTTTTGGGAGTAGTGCACTTTGATGTATGTGGATCATTTGAAGTACCTTCGATTGGAGGAAATAAATATTTTGTGTCATTTGTGGATGAGTTCACAAGAATGACATGGGTAACACTCATTAAGTTTAAGCATGAGGTGTTTGTTGAGTTTCAGAAGTTCAAGGTGAAGGCTGAAAGACAGAATGGTCAGAAGTTAAAAGTTCTCAGAACTGATGGAGGAGGTGAGTACAACTCATCATAGTTCAGAAGGTTTTGTGAAGAGAATGAAGTTAAACATGATGTGATTGTTCAATATACTCCACAACACAATGATCTTGTCGAAAGAAGAAACAGAACTTTGCTTGATATGAATAGGAGCATGTTGAAGGAGATGGAGCCCTCTCACCCCTTGTGGAGAGAAGTTATTGGCAATGCAACATATGTGCTTAATAGGTGTCAAACCAAAAAGCCGAAGGAAATTGTTCCTTTTGAGATGTGGATTGGAGATAGGCAAAGTGTGAGTCATCTTAGTGTATTTGATTTTGTTTGTTACAAACATGTTCTAGGTGCTACTAGAAAGAAGTTGGATGATAGAGAAAAAATGATGTTACTACACAGTACAGGTGCTTCAATTGAAAATGGGTTAAACATTCTTACGTGCATCTGAGTGTTGTGATAGAGACTATCGAGAAAAATATTGAGTGAGTATTCGGGAATTAAGTTAACTCAGAGTGAGTGTTCAGGGATTAAGTTAACCTGAGTTAGAGAAAGTTCAAATTGATCAATATACTCATGTGCTTTGCCGGTATGTTAACTTTTAATAGTGAAGAAAGGGGGTCCTTGTACACATCTCCAAAATGAGTTATGACATCGGCGACATATTGCTGCCAAAGAGGGTAGATGTCAAACTTTTGACGCATATAATTAAAATGACATTATAGAGCAATATCATCGAGATGAATGAAAGTCCAACGCACTATCGATGACAACAGAGTCTCGTCTAGTAAAAAGAACTGGTCACATTTGTAAATCCAGTCGCTAACATTTTGACCATCGAATGTGGGAGCTCTACCTTCGAGATCCTCATAGCATACATATTTTGGTGGTTGTTGCGATTATTGTTAGAATCTTATCTAACATTGGAGGTCAGAGAACCCTGATCCGACTGTGTTTGGTGAAGAGTTCGTATTTCATTTATGTCGGCATTGCATTGAAGTTGAAGCTGATTAAGGCATTTTTCAGCGTTGTTCTAGTTCGGTCAAAGAATGTGACGTAAAAGAGTCCATGGCCGGAGGGATGATACCAATTGATACGATATTTAAATATTACTCCTAAAAAGTATAGTAAGGAGAGTAAAGGAAGAAGATATTGATATAATGAATTGTCAATTTCATTAGTTACCTCCAAAGGCTATAAAAGGTACAGTCCAGCCCATCAAAAGCTAGCTAATACAATACAAGTAACCATGTGCTAGCAAAATTTAAGGGATATGTCACTTTCATAAAAGACAAAATGGAAGATAACAAACTTAAAGAAAATAACATTTAATTGGAATATGTGACACCTTAGGGCCACTCATCCGACAAAGATTTTGCGTCCTAAAATCCTAATCCTCAAATTAAGAGAATCTAACTGATTGTTCAACCCCGTATATGCTATCTTTTTAATCAAGTGAGGATCAACGATTATTACTAATAATTACTAATTACCAAATTTGAATTCATCTTATATCTCATGGGACAATTACATTTGAATCGTATCACATCAAAATTGAAAGTATTATTATGCATTTTTATCAATACCTTTTTGCCATTGGATCTGAATGCAAGATTCAAATTATCACACTTGCACCCAGATCCAACAACACTAAAACTACTGCATATATAGGACCCGATTGTGTATCATGATGCTACATATTTTCAGTAACATATATCATATTCATATGTATCAGTTTCACAATCAGCCCATATGTATCAAATACACCAAGAAAAATAAATAAATCATCGTATTCATCATGAGACTAAGCTCTCTGTTGTTATAGAATCATTGACTCTATCAGTGGCTTTGTTTGCCTGAATAAATGAAATCAGAAAAACAAAGGCATGTGTCATCAGTCATCACCAAATAATGCATCACACGAAAATTTATTAAAAGAATGAAAGAAATCATTAAGAAAAGTGAAAAAAAAATTTCACCTCTTTCTCCCAATCCGTGCGTATCGTAATGATCATTAGAGCAATTACTTGAGCAATGAGAGCACATGTGATCCCCAGCCACAGACCCTACAATAATTATATTTATTAGCGGGTTGAACCAAACCATATGATCACGATTTTGGCTAAGAGACAATTGTTTATACCTTCCCGCCAACATGCAATACAAAAGCTAATAAAATGGCCGCCGGAATCCCAACTAAATAGTATGCTCCCAGATTGACATAAGCACCTATTTTCTGCCAACCGCATCCTCTAGCAGTGCCTGAATCACAGTTTAAAAAGAGAACATATGTAACGATTGAATAACCATCATATGCCACTGTACTTGCGATATTCATTTAACAAATGTGAAGTTTCCTCTTTACTAGGTTTAAAAAAGAAATCATTTAGCTCATGCTTGTGTTACAAGCAAGAAGGAAATCTTAATCTCAGTCAAAAGAAAAATGGCCTTGTTTAAATCTCAAATGTTATGGAAAGTGAAAAAACATATCTCAAATCAAGCACATTTATCATTTTTATGGCTTTACCAATGTGTTTTGATTCAACCATTATGAAGACACGAAACCAAAAGTTATTGGGAATAAGAAAAACCTGAAAGAACACATTGTAGCCCATCCAGGAAGTTGGATACAGCAAGAATTGGCAACATAGTTGCTACATATTTGACAACTTCTTCTTCATTGCTATAAGCATAGCCCCATATATTGCGTATTAGTAATATCGCTGTTCCGACTAAGATGCTCTCAATAATGGCAATCACCACAACGACACACACTGCCAAACGTGCGGCCCGTGGATTACCAGCCCCGAGTTCATTCGAAACACGAATGCTGCAAGAATCATTCAACCACTTTAAAGCATGAGCAAAACATTTATCATGGAATAATAAAGAGAACAAAGTTTTTGAGAGATTCGGCTTAAGTAAAATAATGAGACTGCTACTGAATTCAAAACTGCATAAGAATTAAAAAATACTAACCTTATTGCTCCACTAAGTCCAAATGGGATCATCCAAGTAGCCGCTGATGTATTCAAACTGACAAAACCAAGTTACTAATGATAAGTTGATGAAAATAATAATAATAATAATAATAATAATAATAATAATAATAATAATAATAATTTCAATACAATATTAAAGAGAATCTCAAATACAAAACCTACCAGATAGAAAGTACTGATGTTTCTAGCTTTGGATTTGGAAGAAGACCGGAAAGGAGAACCATTAATTCAAATGACCACATTTCCAAGCTGCTCGCCACGACGATTTTAATAAATAAAAAATGGAAACAACATCAGAATCTCTAAGGACTTCAGCAAGAGTAGCCACATTATAAGCACTTATCCATTCAAAAAAGTATTAGAGAAAGTGATTACCAAACCATTAGAGCTGAAGGAATGGCAAGCTTCAAGAAAATAGGGATGTTGTTAAGTGCTAGTGCCTCCTTGGAAATTCCATTCCAAGTTTCTTTACATGAAGGAGAAAACTTGACATAGAGTGCGAGTATGGTAACATTGATCCAATAGGATATAGAGTTTGCTATGGCAGCCCCACTGCTACCTAATCCAGACTTGTACACCATAAACCAACATAAAGGAAGGTGCAGTAATGTCGTAACTGCAGAGCTAAACATCATTGGAAATACAATATTTTGTGTCTGTAAGAATCTGTTGAGGCATTGTAGAAGACCGTAGGCAAAAAGGCATGGAACCATTAACTTAGCATAGTTGCCAGCTTCTGCAGATATTTCAGGATCTTGCCCAAGTAAAATGAGAATGGATTTTGTGTTTGCCCAAATAACCGCAAGTGGAATCGCGACGATCATGAGAATTAACATTGCTCTCTGCATGTGTACTCCTAACATGTGGTACTGCTTTGCGCCATATGATTGTCCACATAATGTGTCCAAGGCACTTGCCATTCCAACCTATTTAACCAAAATAAAAACAAACAAATTAAGTAACAAACAAAAGATTATTATCTATAATCTAGTTTCCCCTTTACAATTTGGTCCTTCCCCACAAATGGTGGTTTTCCGCCATGTACTCGATCAAGTTATAAGCCACATCTTGTGGTCTATTCATGAGTGTGCCACTGCCACCAGCAGCCGCATCTAAAGTCATCCTCGTGGAGTAGAGGAGACCATTGTAAAAGTGTGTACTATCAACTATTTTTCCAACCCATGGAAAATGGCACAGTCTCAACAGATCATTGAAACGCTCACAGGCGTCAAAAAGAGACTCCCCTTCCACTTGTCTAAAGTTATTAATTTCACTTCTCACTTGGCCTTCCTTGCTCGGCAGAAAGTTCCCCGCAAGGAAAGCAGCCTTTAGTTGTGACCATGTAGTTATGGAATTAGCAAGCAAAAATTGGAGCCACGCGTGAGAAAGGGAGCAATCTGAGCCGAGGCTTTAAGGTGCCACAAAACTCGACAAAGATGGACAGACGAAGGTTCTGATTCTCTCCTAGTTCATTAATGAGTTCTTCCAAATTTTAGGAAATGAGACAAATGAACTAGGAGAGAATTCAAACACTAGTCATTGCAAGAGGCTATTACCATCGCCAAACAATCTCATATATACATGGCTACCTCTTTCTTCTAACATTACTTCACACAGCACTTGAAGCCTATAGCAAGTTGATATTACCACTAATCGGTGACACTATACTTAAACACCTTATGTACTACCATAAGCATCACACTATACGCGAACATCTCTCTCTAGCAGAGATTCAAACAATGATTTGTCACAAATATTTATACAGAATTGAAGAAAGAAAAGTCTATTAAGAATGGAAAAGGAGAGAAAAACTAACCAATAAACTGAAGCCAGTGACAGAAGCAAAAGAAGTAGCCATGGAAGCACCAGAAAGAGACAATTCACCAAGATGACCAACAAACATAACTGAAATAAGATTGATACCAAAATTCAAAAGCGTAACTGAAATTAACGGTCCTGATAGCCATAACTGTTTTTTGACTTCTTCAATCAACTCTCTTCTATCTTCTTCCTTGCTGTTCCGTTTCGTTTCTTCAACAATCAATGGAGACTGAAGAGACATTTTGTTGATTCTCTTCTCTTTCTCTCTCTATTAGTATGAAGAGAGAGAAAGTGAAATTGTTGACTCTCTAAGCATAATCAAAGCCCTTCTTTATACAGTCTCTAAGCAGAATTAATTGATAATTGATTGGAAAAAATGGCTACTCTAACTTGTGAACGTGCTAGAATACCAGCTTTCCTCTTAATTGATTAAAAATGTATATATTCAATTTGTGGAATCCATTTTAAATTTTTTTATTGTTATATAAATATTTTAAAAATGTAAATGAGTTGTTAAACAATTGGAGTGTAAAATAATATAAAAATATATAACAATTTTTCGTTTTTTATATAAGAAAAGTAGAAGAATAGAGAAATGGAAAATATATAAAACTATAGCGGGAAAAAGGTGTTTTGGATTTTGCTGTTTGTGTGTAGTATAGTTTAGAATCCAAAATGGACTTTTGCATGAAAATGAATAAAAAATGGTTTGGGAAGGAGGAGTGTGATGAGTGATGACGATGTGATGCATGCACTTTGTTTTTGTCCTTTTGTGGGAATTGTTGAAATTAATTATGATTTGTTAGTTGTCGTATTAGTTATTTTTGATTGGTATATTAATGGCAATTAATATTTTTTCTATTCTAATTCCATAAAAGAGAGCTGTCTAAATGAAAATTCCATCAAAGGAGAGCCGTCTAAAATCATATCATAGTACTTCCTCACAAAATAAATTTTTTTAAGATTGTTGTATATCAGTTAAGAAAAATAATAATTGAATAATTAAATATAACTATTTTATAAAATTATTTTTAATTATTATTGGTTGTTATAAAGTTGTAATATAAGGTAAAAAAATTATTTTAGAATAGTTATTTTTACGAAAAAAGACTTTTATTTTAAAACAGAAAAAATATATTATTATAATTAATTTAAACAAAAAATAAATACATAATTATACAAATTCCTTCTATCAAAATTTTCTTTCACCAAAATTTATAATAGAAAATTATAATTAATTAAATAAATAAAAGTAAATACCACTATTTAATAGTAAATAATAAACTAATTAATTATTAATATAACTAATAACTAATTAAATAATACTCCTCCGATTAAGTGTGGCATTTATAAAAGTTATTTATTCTAAAATACTTGTGATTTAGCTTATCAATACAATTTTAATTTTAATTTTTTAATTATACCTTCTAATTAATGTTTAAAAATTATTATTTTCTCACCTTACATTAATATTAATTTCAATATATTAATAATTAATCAGAATAATTCAGTAAAGTCATTATTCTCTCTTTTATTTAATATATATTTTTAATTTATATAAAAGTGTTAAATATAATACTTATTTTTGAGGAAGGAATAAATAAAAAATACAATTGAATTTTGTTCCTTAGAGTGGGTTACAACTTCACACATCCCTAATTAATTAACGATTTAATTATAAAAAATATTTACACTCTCAATCATTGAGAATATATAATTCAGTATGAAATAAATAAATTTACACGATATTGTATCACCTTTTTCTTATTAAATAAAATAAAAAAGTTTAAACAAATTAAATTTAACACATATTTTCAAAAAAATTGTTACAACTTTTTAAAATCTCCCAATAATTCTCTTCCCATTTTTCCAGTTCATAAACATTTGGAGTGGGTTACAACTTCAACGTGTTCCTACTTTTCCATACTTATTATTTCAACAAAATTTTAAGCTATAGCTAAATTATAATAATGCCATAATAAGTAATGGATTCTCAGTTTTGGGTTCTTAGTTTTTGATACTACTAATCTATATATTTGTTTAGTTTCTATTAATATGTTTGGCTTTATATTTAATTTTATTCATTTCTTCTTCATATGTCATATTGTTTATCTTATATTATATCATTTAATTTATTTTAAGTTTTGTTCACTTTTTCTTTCTTATGTAATATATTTATTTTCTACATTTTTTATTAAGTCAATTATTTGTTGAATATGCAATAATAGAATCAATGATGGTTACAGGAATCAAGGATGGTCACACACAAAAAAAAGAGAATCCTTTATAGGTTAGTTGTCTCTATTTTTCTTTTAGGAGTATTACTTTTAATTTTGTTCACATCTTCATTGTGATAAAGTTATCTTTTTTTTTTCATTATTAAGCTAATTATCTGTTACACGTTGAAGAAATTGATTTGTCATATGTAACAATAGACACAACAATGTTCACACAAGGAAAATAAAAGTCCTTTGTAGATTACTCCATTTTTCTACTTATATGTGTGTATATATTTCTTTTTATATTTATTTTTTTAATTTTAAGATTTTTGGATTTTATTTAAATTGTGAATGAAGTTAATAAATAGTTTTTATTATCCTGATAGTAATCAATTTGATCATGTACTATTGCAGTGTTAAAGTGTCAAATAGATATAATACATACTGCTAAGTCAATTGTGAATTAATTATGAAAAAAATTGCTCTCACAACTAAAGATGATCTTGGGAGAAAAGAGTGTCAAAGTGTCAAATAAATAAAGTGCATGCTACTAAGTCAATTGTAGATTAATTATAAAGAAAATTGCTTCCATAATTAAAAATGGTCTTACAAGAAAGAATCATTTGATTAATTACAATATCAAAGTCTCATAATATACATATCATTATGTTATGTATCTTAATTTTAATTGTATTTTTTTCTTACAACATAAACAAAAGTAACTACATGATTAATATTTTCTAATATAAGTCTTCATGTATTTCACAAAGTTTTTAGATTCTTTTTTTATTTTTTGACTAATACTAATTATTTTAAATAATATGATTTGGAATATGAAGTTGGTAGAAATGAAGTTCATGAGTTTCAATTTTTAACTTCAATTTATTGTATTCTTTTGTTTAAGTTTTTGTGGTCGTACATAATTTCTTTATTCAGGGATGTTAAGTTCTTAAAAGAATTTTGATTTGGAAAGTAATTGTTGTGGTTCTCAACTTATTTTGAGTTTATAGTATGTATTATGTAAGTCCTCTGATTTATTGATGTCAAATTGATAATATAATTTGATGAGTATTAATTTGTTTAAATATAATTTAGTTTTATATAAAGTAACTTGATTCAAAGAGAATGTTTATCCATATAGATAGGTGGTTGTCATGAGGCAGGTTGTTATAGCAAAGTAGTATATTATTATGGAGAGAAAATGAGTAACCATAAAGACACTATTTTAACTATTTTATAAACTTCATAAATTTTATTAATATTTATTATTTTATATTTTTCCCATTTTAATATTTATTCATATAGTACATGTGTGTATGTCAAATAAAAAATTCAATTTATTTTATTAAGTGGAAGGGAAATATCCAAATACATGTCTTATTCAAAAAATAATGCATATTTGTAGCAATGAAATACTATTACTCCTTCCCAAATGATTTATTACAAATATTTATAATTTATATTCCCTATAAAGGATTGGAAATTCTTTTTTATATATATATATATATATATATATATATATATATATATATATATATATATATATATATATATATATATATATATATATATATATATATATATATATATATATATATATATATATATATATATATATATATATATATATATATATATATATATATATATATATATATAATAAGATGCAAAAGATTAAATTGTTATCTATTTTAAAATTAATTGGAATGAAATCACTTTATAATGAATTCTTTTTGCACATAAACATTAAAATTGAGAGAGAAAGAAAGAGGAAGAATTTGTTATTAGAATGATTAGTTATAATATATTATTTTTATTTTTAATTCAGATTTTTATGTGTTAAAAGATTCATTTTAATTAAATGACAATGTAAAATAACTTTATAATAAAAATGTATTCTAATTAATCTCATCTATTTTTTATATAAAAAATACATAAAATATAAAAAGCACATTAAATAATTTGGGTATTTTATTCTAAATTTCTTTTTAAAATTATAATAATTAAAAATAATAATTCAACAAAGGTTATATGTGCATATTTAAATGCACCATTCTAACCTTAACTATTTATTTTGATTTATGTTTTGTTTTGGAGTTTAAAAAGGAAGGAGATGCTTTCAAAAATGAATTTTTAAAAAAATATAAGAAAATACTTAATATATTTTGAAAAAACGATTTCATATAGAATAATAAAGAGTAATTATTAATATTATATTTTTAATTTTTTGAAAATGTTATATTTTTAATTTTGAAAATTATATCAACATAAAATATACTTAAAAATTTTATGTAAGTTCTCTGAAACTCTCCTTTCATACAAATTTTAATTTTATTAAATTATAGAATTTTTGATGTTATGAATAAAACAAATCCTCCAAAACAATTCACAAAAAATATATCACATGATATAACAACATACTATTCTCCGAATTTTTTATGTAATTCATTTTTAAATAATATTGAATCGTTAATATTTTTAATTTACACAAAATACTCCATCATTTTAAAATGACTATTTATTTATATAATTATTATTTTTAAATATTCTAATATATTAATAAAATTAATTTATATGGAAGAATCATATATATTCTAATTTATAATAATTCATCGTTTCTTAATTCATATATATTAAAAAAATTAATCTATATGCAAGAATCATATTAATTCATCGTTTCTAATATATTCTAATATAATAATAGTTTTACGTTTCTTAATTTATATGAAAGAATGATTTTGAAACGGATGTACTATGTTAGTTGTTAAATGAATTTAAAATTGAATTGTTTTAGTACATTATTATATAATAATAATTGAATATAATATTGGAGAAGTCATCACGAGCCACGAAGTAAGAAGTAGATCACGTGAATTGTTTGATCACGTCTGTGGTGTATATAAAAGAAAGACCGACAATATGCCATCGATATTGAATAGACCAAAATGTCACATTTCCGAAGAACACGTTTCGCAGTTTTTTAAGAAGAAAAATTCCAAGTGGACTATGATCATTCAACATT